CCCTGAATTCAACCGTCCTGCAAGTTCGCTTATTAATTTTTACGGTGGATGTCGTCTAATCAACTTTCCAGACAGCACTGTGACTGCTTGTGAAGCAGAAACCGCGACAGCTGTCGATTTGATGAGCTCCTTGATGAGAGAGACTCTTACTGGCCAATGGCTTTTTATTGATAGTATCGGCGACGAAACTCAGCGCATGTTTTACGAGCTAATAATGCTTGGAATACCCGGTTTTCCATTTACGGATCTTCGCCCAGCAGATGAATTTTATGGCAATCTGACTGCAATCTTGGATGTCTACTCGTCATTCATGGACGTTACTCGCTTCAATATTGAAGGTGAGCAACATGTGTGGCTGACTCGCGACGACTATAGAAACGCAACGAGCTTAGATGGTCAGTTTCTTGGCGATGTTTTGGTGGAGTGGCTATCGAACACGAACAGCTTACTAAGTGAAGTTGATCAATCATCGTCAGATTCTCCAAACACTGCGACAATTACGAGAAGCAGTCCGACAACAACTTCTACCGCCAACACTCCCACTCCGATGCATTGTTAACTGTAGCTCAAAAGCGAGGTAACACAAATTCTCTACAGTTAAGCTAAAAATCCGTAAAAAATATATGTTCGATGTTTATTTCATGCACATATTACTGTTTGAACTGTAACCTCCGCTAAGATCATTTTCAACTCTAAAAAATCATCTCATCGTAACGACGCATGCCATGTAAATTACATATCATTTAGAGGTTACCAAGCTTGACGAGAGACATACGTCATGACAAATGACACTTGTGTAGTTCTCTCCGGAGCTTCATGCTGGGAAGACTTAACGGCAAAACACATTTTCATCAGCTAGAAAAAAATTACAAACCATGCGATCAAAAATTCCTCTTACATTAGAAAATATTCTGGCCCAAAGATCAAAGTGACATTATTGGCCTGTTCAGTCCGGCCAGAATTAGGACACATGTCAGGCTTTCTTTAACATCCTGAAAAGATCGCCACCTCTACTGCGATAAACACAATTTACTGTCATTTCTGAACGGCTTAGCCTTGTCGGCATTGTTTGCACTATGCTTGTGCAAGTAGTATGTCACATCCATAATTTTTCTGTTTGACGGCACGAAGAAAAAAACTATAGCTATGATCTTCGCGAGATGAGCCCAAAGATCAAACTTTCATGAAGCATTCTATGTATGAGATTTTTCCAGCGTAAAACTCACATCTGATGGCATTTTGAGCGGCATAGTTAAGTGCATACACTCGTGCACAGCTTGCAGGTGCTTATTATGACGGCTAGGTATTTAGTTTCCATGCTATGTAGGACTGTATACAAAGAAAACAGAGAATTCAGTAGGTGTGTATGCAGTATTAGGTCTAAAAAGTTGTGTCGCCGATCGTTGTATGTTGCTGGTGTGTTGGACAGCCCCAAGTTCACCAGTCATTTCCAGCGCATGCCACTGGTGTATTTACTGCAATGACGTTACTCAGATGGGAAAGCTAAGTCAATAGCGTTGTACAGTTTACTACGCTGTAACACATCCTTTCTGGAAATTGACGCTTTGGCCAGAATTGTGATTGCATTGAGCTTATTGCAGGCATGAATAACTCATCCCTTGATGTTCACCTTATTGACACTGAAAGGCGGCTCTGAGCAGAGAGATTCATTTATGTGATTTGCAAGAAGAATCGCTTATAACACCGCCCTACTTTCGTTTATAGGGCCAACGACGTGAAACGCAGCATAATTGTATGCGAATACCCGCACCACTTCTGGCGGGTCTATTCGAGCCACATCACAGTTTTTCTTTAACATTAAAGAGCCTGCAGGTATTTCGATAGCACAGCCGATCTTCCCATGGCACCCAGTTGCACCTTGTGTCCCAGTCGTGATAGTAAGTTCAACCACTCATCCGGTACTGAAAAAGCAGCTCGATGCTCTCGCCGCCTTGGCACGTCTTGTATGCATCCTTAAGGATCATTGCGACGTTAGAGGTTCTGACTTGATGAAGACGATGACGGCTAATGGTACCCCAGGCACTCCATTCTTGAGTTGGTATAAACGTCCCGTCATCACTAATTCGTAGTGCATTGACACGTTGTTGGCACGTGGGCTTTTTACCTCATGTAATGCGTCATATGGGGGTTATCATGACTTAAAATTATCATATGCCATTTCTAGCAAGCTTAAATTTTTTATAATTATTCTTTAACTTGAGTAAGTTTAAATTTCGTTAGGCATCTTTATGGGCGATCGGTGGGTTCATCCTCTGTGCGTTGTGAATGCAGACTCCGAAATTTTTCTTTTTGAAAAAATTCACGGCTACTCTTTGAATTTGGTAGCGCTTGTCGTAAATTTGACAAATGAGTCAGAGTGAGACTCTACATCTTTAAAATGGATCATTAAGTGCTTACTTTTCTACCCTCGGACGCTTTGATAGATATGATCGATCTCACGGGAAGCACGATTGGCGGACGATGAACCGAAAGTTGTGATTGCTCACATAGAGCCTACGAAATTGCACTGATAAGATGCCCCTGGAAACTCCTGTCTGGTCCATGTTCAGAGCCTAATGGACAACACTTCAATGTGAACGTACATCATATCAAAGTACGAGCACCTTTTCACCCTCTCCCACTAAAATGAGAACCTTACCGGGATCAAAACAAATTACGTTTTTATTAGTCACTTAAAGCTTTACAAGCATCCACTGGAATTGCGCATGACTATTGTAAGTCCTACGAGCGCCCATTTTGCGGAAAGCTCCTCCCTTTTCTGGCTCGATAGTTTTATATTCGGCGATCATGACGATAGACGCGGCCTCTGCGGCTGACCCAAGAAGTCATTGTTTGGTGATTAAAGCATAGTGTAGACTTCTATGGATAGGTCATGACTGATCAAATTCCGACGCAATTTCTGCGGCTTTACTGAAAGCGACACGGCAGTGTAGTTTCTATTCACGAAAACTTTGCTGATAAGTATACGCTCTTTCTGTTCCGCCTCACCTGCGCACGCTGTGCTCGTTCCCTAAGAAATTAATACAATCCGCCCTGTATTTAACGACGAGGTCTAATCCTTTGCTACTTGACTCAGCAGGCTGAACTTGCTCTTCTCAAGAGCAAAGGTGCAGCAAGTTTGTTGAGGTTGTTTTTGAACCATTTGTTTATTTATGAGAAGCCGTCCGTCGCGCCGTGACGCTGCCTCTAGACACTTATGTGTCGACATTTAACAAGCAAAGCTTTGGATCAAATTTATTTCTCGCAGCTCAATACTGCTAAGAATCACATCTAATAGGCGAATTAGCAACGGTCGGGGAATTCGTGCGAGGACTGTACCAATGTTACTATGCTCTGATGGCAGTGCCGGTAAATACATAAATCAATCGAGCCATATGATGAAAAAAGCCCACCGCCTCACCCATTTTGCTTCAGCAATTGAAGTGCTGAAAAAGCCAGATTATAAATCTTTGATGCTGACTTTTGCACTGGACTTGGATGTCGAGGCGGTCGTCCACCCTCATCCCCAGTTTGTGCTATCAATAGTCCTGCTCAGCCTCATGATCCTGGAAGTACAGCAGCCAGCCAAGGGTTTTGTTAGTGGAAGGCACGCTGCGCCGCACGACCCATTCTTTATATTGCTAGGCCAAATGTTAAGCATCCACGATGCCAGGGTAATCTTGCTAAGGTGGACCCCATACGTTTATGAGCTCACGAGTGGCTTCCATATTACACGGTACAATATACACTGCCGTCAATTTGCTCCACTTATCAGTGGCCTTGCTTGTTTCATCGAGTAGAGTTGGCAGATGGTGACCCGCACGGAGCTGGATTGCGAGTTTCCGCTGTCGAAATAGTACTTTGTATTTCCTCGATAGTCTCAGCGTACATCCTATGCGGACATGGCTTATCTTTCAGACGCCATCATAAAACTGCGCAATCAGATTTAGTAGCGTCAGGGACCCCACTCGACTCGATGTCGAATTGCTGCTTTAAATCAGAAGGAAGCTTGGCGAGCAGAGCGTTATTTTCTTAACAAAATTTGCGTCAGAGTATCTCACGAGAGCGGTGTCTCAAAATGGCTTCAGACTTCATGCATGGAACATACGATGTGTTCTCTCTTCCGTTGGTATATACGACGTGTTCGCTTATTCTTAAAGAATAAATGTATATATTATTGGCTGTGACCGGAAATGGCTCAATGTAGAGAGAGTAACTTAGTCTTAACTGCTATAGACACTGCATGTTTAGGCAGCTCAACAGTGTTAAATATACCTTGTCACCCAGCTCAAATTGGTATTTGCTTCACCATATGCATGTTGCTTTTGTATATCTCGGTCTTCTATCATACTATTGCGCTAGACCCAAGAAGCTCAGTTTCAGCTAAATAAACAGTCGATTTTGATAAGAAATCTAATCAGGTTGATATCTGCAAGCTAATCAGTATTGGCTACCCTGGAGACGAGCCACTTCGATAGGAACACGATGGTCAACCAAATCTTTATAAGTATGCTGAAATCGTGCAGAAGCGAGTGCGACATTGTTTCAAGCTAGGTCAATGGGTCAAAGTCTATTGATTTGGCACCACAATGGTGCTGTACAATTGCTGTTGAGAATATCCTTCACCTCGGGTATAATGCGTTTCCACTGATCACGGTATATTGATGGTCTGTAGTTGGCATGATCACAAGTATATTGAATGACGGTGGTCAGCGATTTGCTGTTAAGCGAGGGTCTGAATCCGATAAAGTTGTCGCAGGCACGGCAAGTCGACAAATAATTTTGAAAAAGAACCGTCTGGCTGTAGTATCATCGGTAATGGTGTCGCTGACAGATGAGACGAGGCGTGCTTGAGCCGTTCTCAACAGCAAAGGCGATTACCGTACGCGTCTTTTGCGGAAGCAAATTTCGATTTTTGCAAAATGGCTATCAGCACCTTGTCAAAACCGCTAGGCTAGCCCTGGTGGTGTTGACACAATTTATACGTGTGTTTGTATGTGCTTAAGTATTCGTACATTAGTAGCCACTGAACAAAGTGCTCTTGGGCCGTACGTCTCTCTCAATCAAAGTTATCTCCGAAAAGAGTATCGTGTGCTTCATACAACTTTTGTTATTGGTATTCTCATCATCAAATACCATGTGTCTAGCAGGATCGTGCTGCAATACAGCAAGCCTTCGGGTAAGAAATAACGAATTTAATGTGCTTCCAGATGCTTAGACAATACTTCACCCGGATTCAAAAATTTCTTGCTTATCGATTACTTTCGAAAGCGCATTGTAACCTTCGTTTGGATTGTTCGCCGTACGGCGAGCAACGACGATTCGTGACTTCACCTTACTGACATTGTGTAGCATATAATCAGGTCTTCGAACGTGTCCGCATGTACATTAAGCCGACCTGAATAGTTCTTTGCCTAAGAGGTGTAATCGCGATGATCATAAGATAATTTGGCATCATTTATAAGAAATGTGACGTTGGTACCGCTGGATGTATTGACGCTTGATCTGTATAGACCACAGATGCTTTGATCCGGGCAGGTGTATTCCAAACCTGAAAAGGATATATAGATCATTACAAAAATAGCTCCACGTCGTAAGCTGTGCATTTTTCTGCTGCCTTATGCTGGCGAGATTGAACCGCATATCATGCATTCATGTTCATTAACATCGGCTTAAAGTAACACACGGCCTAGTTTAGGTATACCGTAGCTTGATAAGCATGGGCCATGGATTAATTGGCGATCGAAACGGCTCTCCTGATGTAGATGAAATTCCTGGGAGTAATAAATTCACATCCAACATGCACCGGAAGAAGCGTTCAAGCGCTTGGCAGCCGCATGCCGCTTGTAATAATCAACATTTCATTGGTATATGTCATGCAACTGACATTCCCCAGGTTAGGGAAGAACGAATTTGTATGGAGTAACCATTGGTAGTCAGTCACTCAGAAAGTGTGTCGACAAATCAAGTTGTTCCAATTCAAAAACAGGTTGATAAATACACGAAATAGCTTTATCAGATGATACGAAGCCGAATAGCGTGGTGTATGACGCTTTTGAGTTTGCAATCGGTTGTGCACTATTGCACAAGAACTCAGTAGTACACAATCGTGTCGTGTCCTTTTGATCGCGACAGTTGAAGCCAGCAGAAAAGAACTACCTTGTCCGCGACAAGAAGCTTTTGGCAATAAAGTATGCTTTGGTGGTGATTTGTGCTCACCTTTCGGGCTCGACTCCGTTTGTCGTCTACACGTACCACGCAAGCTTGTGATATACAGGTCAGTCTCCCCACTTGTCGCAGCGGACGGCTTGCCATTGCGTATAATCCGGGAAAACTAATTGTGCTAACTGACGCATTAACACGTCGTCCGGAGTATATGCTGGTCTTTATTCGCTATATCGAAAACGATGTATTCGATATGATACGTCGAGCTTATGTTCAGGATGAACAGTGTGATCGGATCGTCAACGCACTCTCATCGAGTGATATGGAAATCAATGACAAGCTTCCTGTTGCTTCCTGTCGGATGCATCGTTATACATTGAATGATGCTCTATTTCACTATGAAGCTGCACATGACTACGAGCCTTGAATTGTGGTTCCCGACAGCGATGTTATGAATCACAAGATCGTGTACAAGGCGCATGATACGCCGATGGCCGGTCACTTTGGCTGTGAGAAGACCTAATAGTCTTTCAGTTTTCAACACTTTGGTGGCCCCACATGACAAGTGGGTGGCACGATACGTGAAGACATGCGATGTCTGCCAACGCGTGAGGAGCGCACGGCGCACGCCACTGCAGAGTCTCCCTGTTCCTACTGACTGCTGAATGTCAGTCGTCCTCGACTTCGCTACGGTTTCCCAGAGAGTGCTGATGGTCACAATAGAGTGTTTTTCTTCGTCGATAGACTCAGCAAAGCCCCATATAGTGATTCCATCGATGCTGAAAGTTCAGCGAAATTGTTCACTGATCACTATTTTGCAATCACGAATTACTAGACGCCATCGTCTCCGATCGTAATACATGATTTACGAGTGGTCTTAAGAAAATATTGGCACTCGCTTGTATATGTCTACGACGGTACACCCGGGCAAACAGAACGTGCCAATCGAGAGTGTTGAGAAGCTTCTGTGCAGAATGGAGTCCGTTGCTACTATTGGTAGATTTTGCAATGAAGAACCCAGTGTTTCCTCCACTCGATCTACGCCATTTTTTAGGGGATGAATTGCGACACCCGCATTACCGCTTTGTGCGATGAGTGGTGTCTTTGTTATGCGCGCGGCAAACGCAGCCTAAATATGGCGATAATGAAGTCCTTGGAGATGGCACTTTTGTGATTAAACCAACGACCCAGGCGAGTTCATCATTGTCTGACTTGAGCTCGCAAAGTTGTGCGGAGGAGTATGACCATACAGCAGGTGTAGTTTATCCGCTTACAAGGTCTTGACAAACGCAATGTGGGCGTCATTAGCTCAGAGACTTCAAGCTCGGTCGGCGCTGCGAACAGTACGACGAAGTTCCGTGATCTTGTAAATAGTAGGCACTGTCGACTGGTTCTGTGTTCGAGGTCGTGGGTGTTGCCTACTTCGACTCATTCAGCCGACGCGACGATAGGATCTTGATTTTGTGTGGTCCTCATACTTCTGTATTTCACACTCTGCTTTCATGTGACGAGATATATCGATGAGCTTGCGCAGTCTTTGCTTAACATACACGGCGGGTGTTTCCCAGAGCGGCACCGCAGGACTGCGAAATTGGTGGGGAGAAAACTTCAGGGTCATTTGACGACTTGCACACCGTTCGACTCGTTCCGCATGACGCAAGAGCTCAACACCCTTGGGGTCGTCTTCTGAATGAGGGCCTGTGTCATAGATGTGCAGATTACCGTTAAGGCCCAACCGGTGGAATCAAATGTCTTTTAAACTTTTTCACACAAATTATAGAAGAAGGAAAAAGAGCAACACTGGATAGCACATCGAAAGTGTGTCACATAGCAGTCAAAGCTCATTGAGTCTATGAACCATCACTGGAATGTGCCCCGCGACTAAGCCTCTATGACTCTTCCTACGGTTTGCTCATTTACAGAGATTTCGTTGATGTCGGAGGCCTGTACAAGGCATGGAGGAGGAGATCAAAGTAAGAAATCTTCATTGCAAGGAGACTTTGGACTTTGAGTTCTCATCTTCAAATACATTGGAGTTTGCAAATCGCGTTGAACGTGATATTCTCACTTGTACCACCCGTATCCTGAAACATTTTGAAGGCATCTATTTCGAGCTAACTCTCTTTTCTATATGGATAGATACATTGCTGATGCTTTGAGATTGAGCAAATACCATAACGTGATCGGCTATGTAAGATCTCTTTTTGTGTTGCTCAAAAAGTGCTCACCGGATGACGTCTCAGTCAGCGTGTTACCGGCGTTAAACGCAATGAAAAATGTCGATGAACTTGAGACAAAACTTTGTTGCTACTTCTCGCTTTATTACTTCAAAGCGACTATAGTGCTGTATACGTTCTTGCTACAAGCAAAATACATTGATTTAATAGTATGTTTATTGCTTAGATTTCGATCCAAAGTATGCATGGCTCGCGTAAATATCAATTTCTTAGTAATGCGAAATCATTTACACCAACAATGGGAACGAGAATGAGGCAATCTCCCACGCTGGCGATTCATGCTAGCCTGATAAAATAGCATTGCTATCAAGCATTACAGACATGACTTGCCTATGATATCCCACAAATAGTAAACAGCAAAGCTATGGTTGATCTAGTATTTCTCTGGCTTTTATGATAAGATGCAGATCGCGCCTAAATGATTACGCGTGTCGTTCGAATAATTGAGATCGTCCCGCAAACGGATTACGAGAACATAAATGTTACAACGAAGTCTAAAGATATCGTGTATATAGAATTCTAGGTAATATTTATTTAGTCGTGGCGGTTTCTGTGTAGTTTGCATTCTAAAAGATATCATTCTTTGATTCCAAACCTTTAATGTGACTGCTGGCTTTCCTCTCACAAAGTAGATTTCGTCGAGACAACCACACGAACGCGTTCAATTTTATCCACTTGGTCTATTCTCATGATTGTTTGTAATCGCTGCAAAAAACGAAGGACACCAAATACTCTTTGATGATGTGATTCATTTAAGGGTGGTTTTATTATTTACTTCATATACTTTATCAACTCTTTCAAACACGCTTCTTAAATTTTCGAAACCCGTCGTATGATGACTTCAGTATCAAGTCTATCGTTACCAAAATCTTATGAAGATTACTGCAATTCTACCGTCCCAAGTACCGCGACTAATCATTTTTCGACTGATTCAAAGATCTGCGCCGTTAACCGTCATGAATCATTCATTTCTGACTAGTTTTTAGATGTAAGCATGTTTTCATGTCAAGTTGGAAACGAGACACATAGCTTCATTCTTCAATTTTCGATCTAATCGAAAGGACTTGGACTTCCAAATATGGCCGCACTAACCGACTACAAGCTCTTTACTCCACTGCACCTTGATGACCTCGAGCTAAAGAATCGTGTTGTATTTGGTCCACTTTCCCGTGGTCGTGCTAACGCTGATCGAGTTCCTTCGACGAGCTGGTGCTGGTTTGATCATTTCAGAGGCCGCTGCAATCTCGGAACAGGGCTATGGATGGCACCACGCTGCTGCTTGCTACACGGACGCACATGTCGAAGGATGGAAACGTGTGACCGAACGTGTACATAAGAAAGGTGGGAAGATCTTTCTACAAATGTGGCACATGGGTCGTCAAGCCCACTCGAGCTATAATTCAAAAGGTGAAATCGTCTCAGCATCGGCTTTACGTCTTGAAATTGGCCACACACGTGATGTGAATTACGTCGCTCAAGACTACGAGACTCCACGTGCACTTGAAACGGATGAGAAATTGTCGAGTCATTTCGTCATGGTGCTAGCTTGGCATTGAAGGCAGGTTTTGATGGTGTGGAGATTCACAGTGCCAACGGATACTTAATTGACCAATTTCTGCAATCGTGTACTAACAAACGTGGGGACAAATACGGCGGTTCGTTCGAGAATCGAGCTCGTCTTTTAATTGAGATTGTTGAAGCTGTCAAGATGGCTGTACCATCGCATCGTATTGGTGTACGACTGTCACCAAATGGGAGTCTTGCGGGCATGGGTAGTGAGGACAATTATGAAATGTTCAAGTACGCAATGGAGCGTTTGAGTACGTACAATTTAGGGTATCTTGCCATATTAGACGGCGTTGGCTTTGGCTATACAGACAAGTGTCGTCTCATCACTGCATTTGATGCCAAGACGGCATTTAAAGGCATTGTTATGGCCAACAATAGTTACACTCGTGACCGTGCTGAAGGTGCGATTGGCACTGGAGCCGTCGACATGGTGGGCTTTGGACGATTGTACATTTCAAACCCCGATCTTGCTGAGCGCTTTCAGAATGATTGGCCATTGGCTCCACAGGCTGAACCCAACGTATACTATAATTCATCGCTGGGTGGCAAAGGCTACAACGACTTTCCGAGTTACAACGAAGCGTAAAAGAACTTTGAGACCCTTGAGCTAGCAATGATAAGGTTTTAACTAGATCGCGTAAACAAGCACTTGGAAATGCACTTTTACTTTATTAGCGCTGCCACACAATTTAATAAACTTCGTGTAGTTCTGACTATTGTCATCGAAACGATACGATCGACAGCTCAATGTTATGGTTCTCGAGACAAATTTACAGACTCTGAGCTTGAGCACTTGCTCAATTTCTTACTACTCCTGCATGTGAACGATAGACACACTCTTCGATCGGTTGCTTTTGGCAGCAGAACCTTTGGCATTGTTAAATTTTGTACGCTTTGACGGCCGTTGCTGTCGTGGTGGCATTTCCACTGGAATAAAACTGAATTCGATATTCACGGCCTCATCATTATCATCCATTATCACTGCTGCGACTAAGTTTACGAAAATCTCGTCTTTGCTTGTACCAGAAACTCTTACAAGAGCGCTGACCGACTGCTTAGTCTCACACAGTTTTTTCATGATGGCCTCAAATCTGTCCTGGTCCGCACAAATGTATGGCCGCAACGTTTTTTTCTTCTTTAATGACACCTCCGAGAGTCCTGTAAACCTAACGAAAGCAGCATTAAAGACAATTGTCTTCATATTCATGTCCACAACAAGTCGCGGTGTCGTGGCTTTGTCAAATATGCTACTAGCAATGCTTTTACCATTATGATCCTGTGTACGAAGAGACTCAGCACGTCGTTCAGCACGCTCTGCTTTTTGCTGCGCGATCACCAAATCGCTACGTAGCATCTCTATGTAGTGCGACGTGTTGTCAAGTACAGACTGTTTGTTCTTCTTGGTCTGTACACCAGCCTCATCAAGCAGCGTTTTAAGCTGATTAATCCGATCATTAAGTTTAAACATGCGCTGTTTTTCTTTACGATTGAGCTCCTCACGTGATTGCTTCGCGTTCGACTCAAAGCTACTGGTCTGAGACCGAGAAATAGCCGATGGCAGCGAGTAATTCGGTGTACTTGACTCATACTTGACACTAAGCTGCGGATGAATAAGCTGATTGCAATTATTAGGCATCGGATGTGGTTGTAAGAACAGCTTAGGCCGCGAATCATTCGCTAACTGCTGGTTATAGCGCATATTGACGGCGTACCAGGATATTTACCGTATCGTCGATATCTGATTAGAGACGAAAATTCACTTTTATTGAGATTATTACAATGCAAATCATCGTTTTGCGCGTCTGTGTATTTCTATACTGCTATTTTTTTACCACACAGCTGCGATATTGAAGTGAATTTGTAGCGAAAGCTAAGAAATGCATCTTTGAGCTATCGTTTCAATTGGCAGCGTTAGATTCATATGTTTTAACTTCAATCACTTGGAGATTATCGCATTATTTGTAAATATAGTTTTTTTTGGCTGCGCTTGATTAAAATATGCAGGTTCTAAACAATTATACGCGACAATTACAAACTCCCATCTTTAATACTCGTTTTTTAATTGACGGTCGCATGAACGTTTAGTTCAGGCTTGTCCTTGAGCATACAAGCTATCATTTCAAATTGATCAGTTTGTGGTTGTGCGTGGCTTTTGAAATAGTCAGCGAATCATGAGTTACATCTGCAGGATTACGACAAGTATTTATTTCAAAACTCTTATTAAAATTGACGGTTTGGTGTTTAGAAAAACGAAATTTGTCCTATCAAAAGCGCTGAGTTTAGTATGAGATTCAGGTAATAGAAAATTACTATTTATTTTGGTTTGTGTTGACAACTTTTACTCATCCTCTTACTATTTACTCCGCGAAGACAGTGTCCAACTTCACTGAAATACAGCCACTGCTTCTATCTAGTGCATCCAAAAGCACTGAATTATTTTCAGCAACACATCGCTTCCAGCAACGCCTGAGTCAATTTAGACTCTAAACGGACGACCGTAACCCTTCACATTTGCTGTGATCACGAGATTACCACTTCGACTCGTGTCGTTAACGATGGACAGCGATCCTTCAAGGGCTAAACCCTCCTGAGTGATTCTAGCACCACACTAACAAGTATACATAATTGCCCCAGTAGACCGCCCTGCGTCTCCTGTATACCGGCGTTTCCCAAACCCTCGAGGTATAGGTACCACGTGGCTGGGAACCACTACGAAGAGAGCCGTAATGCGAATTTTGTCTCCTAAATGGGGATGTGACCAAATTGTTGACATTCAATACAGCGAATCTGCTCCCTACGGACAATCATCGCGCTGAGATGCATTGGTTCTGAATTTTTCAGTAGTAATAGTCACTGCTTCCATCGGGTTGATTGGTTGACCACTCGTTAGAGGTGAGCAGTAGTCCTCACGCAATGCAATCATTAATGCATCTTCCAGAGTTGTCGGAGTCTTGCGGGGGGTTTTGGTGTTAGGCAGACCATAAGTACGTCCCTAGTGACCATCGCTGCCTCTGACAGTAACTCGCTTGCCATACTGGCACGAAGCTCGCGGAGCTTTTGTGTACATAGTCGTTAGGTGTGCTGTTGTCTTGACGGCATGACAAAAACTGCGACATTTGTCAAAATGCCACATTCGGCGGAAGGATGGTCCTCTTCAACTCTTGCCATGTGGCAAAGTAGCCGGAGTGACCACCCAACTTTTCGCACAGCCATCCAAATGCGACATGGTGAAGGCCATTGGACTGTGGTCATCACGAAAGTGGGTCATCACAACAGCGATGTTCATTTCTTCCCGCGAAGTCGCAAATTTTTTTATCTTCGTTCCCGTGAAAGCTGTTTGCCTGGAT